TAGGTCGGTGATCCGCGCCCTCTGACATCCCTCCCCTCCGGGGAGCCGACGTCCTCGGCGGCTGCTGCAACTTGCTGAGCTCTGCGCCGGGAACTCTCCTGCGGATGTCGCTGTCGAGGTAGCGCGCATATCCGTCCCTGAAATGCGTGTCGTATACCTGAAAAGAATTTTGGGGTCCATCTGCTTCTCTGGTCACGTTCCCAATTTTTTGTCCTTGAGGGAATCAACGTGAACAACTGATCTGAGTTTGCCCATTTCTTCAGTACTGATTCAATCACCGTCCACACTTTTGACTTCGTTTTCCACATACCAGTCTTCTTGAACAATGGTGGCGGCCACACGGATACAATCTTTCCTCCTTCTTCGAGGTACTTCTTGCATATCCGCAATGTCTCAATGATAGCCTCATCCTCCCTTCTTGGGTTCATGGGCCATACTATGATCCACATACGACAGATCTTCAAGTATTTCAACGCTTCTTTGAGTTGACTGAATGATACTGCCACCTTGGTCAGCACTCTACACTGTTTCAGAACTTCTCCAAATGATGTTGCACATCTCGGTGCAATAAACGCAACAGGACGTTCCTTCTCAGAACTTCGTCCTTTCTTACTGCTTGTCTTCTTAACTTTGACTCCTTTCCGTGCCTCTCCGCACATTTTCCGATCACTTCTGGAAGGGCTGTGCTTCTTGTTACCCATCCTACATGTCGACTTCTTCCACTTGCGCTCACAAGCTTCCTCTGAGCAGATTTCTTTGCCTGCTTTGACATCTCTTCTTCTCTCACTGAAGGGTTTTTTGTTGACAGTTACAGACCTTTCCTTCTCTGAGATAGCTCTGTTCGTAATTATGGTACCTTGTTGGATCTTCGCTCTTACTAAGGCGGTGTTTCTCTTCTGTGGAGGCACCATCCTATCCTTTATTTTCCCTTTGACTTCAGGCTTCTTGTGTATCACTACTTCCACCCCTAGACTCTTCAGTGCATTTGTGCCAATGAGTACTTCCTCATTCCTATCGTCGGAAACATGAAAAGCCACTTTTTTCTTGCATCCTCCTTCTAGTTCTACTTCTACTTTCACACCTCCGAGAAAGCTCATCACATGGTTGGATGCATCATATATGCTTCCTTCCACAATGTCGAAAGTTCGAAGTGATTCGACATCGTACCCACTGTTCCTCGCTTCTATAAGCACGTTCACGGGTAGTATACTTATCACTGAGCCCGTGTCTAAAAGTATCGAAACCTTTCTTCCCAACATTCTCGCTTGAGTCAATGATTTCCTGCCAACAATTCTGTTTAAGTCGGAATGGGAGCTCTTTACGACCATGTTCCGACTCCTACTTACCATTGATGTCAATCCATCTAAAGTCTTGATGACGCCTTCCTTCTCCGTTTTTCTGTACTTACAACCTCTCATCACATGTCCAAAGTGACCACAATTAAAGCATCTTTTCTCTTCCTGATACTCATCATAGGCACTCGAGCTACTCGTTGGCTCATGCCTTCTTATATCATCTTCCCTTTCGCCTCTCTCCGCTGAAATGCTTCGACTTTGCGTCATAGCTGGCACATACCTTTCATTTCTGCTTGCTTTCCTCCAGGACGGAGCTTGTTGTTCACTCCTCCTCTCAAATTTGCAAAACCTTCGCGACTGTTCGATCTCAATCGCTACTTCTTTGATCCTGTTATATGCCTCAGCTGGATCCACTTGGTGTAGGTTTCCCACCAGCTGCACGTATTCCGGCCATGACGTCAGATTCTCCAGTAGAATCTGCGCATAGTCCATCGATCTTTCCTCAATGGTACATTGAGGATTGGCCTTCCTTGCTAGGTTCTCGAGGGCGACACAGAAGTCTGCAACCTCCTGGCCTGGCCTTAAGCGCATGTTCCTTAAGGCTGTCAGCGCCTTTAACCTAGCTGCTGTGGAGTCACAGGCCAGTAGTGAAGCCATATCCTTCACTACTCTATCGAAGCCTTGCTGCCTTACCCCCATGGGTATGCTCAGAAATAAGGACCTTGCTCGTCCTTGCAAGTGTTCATCAACCAGGACCTCTATCAGCTGTTCATCCTGGGCAATGGTACCATACTTTCTTTTGAACTTCCGAATGAATCTGTCAAAGTCCTCATCATCACTGCCCTTGAAAACTCCAGGATCAGGAAAAGTCATGCTTTGAAAATAGCTAAGCAACTGATCTTCCACACCTCTATGATTGTCGAGTGGTCCACGTGATTCAGAATTTGCAGCTTCCCTCACTGCAACTGCCGTTGCTCTGGGACCGAGTATCTGGCTTAACTCGGATGTTAGGTTCTCCAGCCTACCTAACACTGTGGCTACCTTAGCCTCCAACTCTTTTTCAAGTGGCAATCCATCAACCGGTATCCTACATCGGCTAAGGACCTTACTTACCATCCCAGGTAGCATTTCCACTTCTTTTCAGATGATACTTATCTCCTCCATCATCAAGTGTGCTTTTCTCTCATGGATATCATCTGCACATCTTTGCTTCTGATCCATATCCATGAACATGAATGTACTCGGCAGCGAAATGCTTCGCCTTGCCTTTACATTCATCGGTGATCAACGCCGCACGCGAAATCGCGCGTCTCAGCTGATCGAAGAGAGTCAGTCACAATCAATACCCACGCCCTATTAAGCGTGGATGATTTGATCAATAATCTCCCATATATTTCAACTGCCTGCTCTGTATGATATGATAGAGACTTTTTTCCAGTTGATCTTAGATCTGCCCTTCTTGGCCTGTTACGTACGTCACCTCCTTGATGACGTATAGATTTCCCACCTTTTTGGTCTTTTAGTTTCGTTTTCTTAGCCTGTTCTACGCGTTCTCTGCTGTTTTGCCTCTGAGACAGTCAATTCAGTCGCCCCGTGTGTGTTTTAATCGATCCAGGTCGGCTCGGCCCCCATGTAACCGGGGGTGTCTAGTGGTATAGCGGTTTTAACCGGATCGATAGGCAACACGGATTAAACGACTAACAGTTTATCTCAGAAAAAACGGCAACGAACAACAAGAACAATAATGCGTAACGTGAACAAGCTTAACAACGAAACAGCGGGCTTTACCCTCTTGACCACTTCGGCAGGCTACTAGTTACTACTCTCTATCTAAGGGGGAGTTCCGCCTCTCTTCGACGGAGTTAGCTCCCTCTAGCGCTTCTCCAGCGCGGACTCTGACTCCCCCCTGAATCTCGGTATTTATACCCTGCCGAAGGGGTCAGCGCGGGCTTTTCTTCCCGCCACTGAAGATCGGTAGGTCGGTGATCCGCGCTCTCTGACACAATGAGCTCTCGAAAAATTACCAAAATCTGCGAGTCTTGCTATTCGCCTGTCAAGTTTTTTTTTAAATTTTTGTACTCATTCTCCAAAGATATACACGTGACAGTTAGATAGCGCAAACACTATAGGAAACAGGGTTATTTTTTTCTTTTCCTTACCTTGTTTCTTAGAGCTTCTGGAATCAATTTTTCTATGCTATCAGATTCCATATTTGGTCAACTCAAACCTCACAGAACAACCGGCAAGCGGCTCAGGCGTCATTCGACACAGCTTTTTCTCCTCTTTCTAACACATGTTCTTTGACTCTATTCGTCAAGTTTTCCGGGATGAATTCATCAATTCAGGTTTTCCGGGCGCCCCAGGCTGTACCCTTTTTTTTCGAAAGTTGCTAATCTGAAGCGGTAAATACTCATTTGGTTTGTAAAATTAGTGTGAAACCATAATTCACCTTTGTAAGTTCCAAAATCCGAAGTTTTATTGGTGTTTGATGCATTTGTGTCTGAGGCGAAAATGCTATAATTTGGTGGTTCCATCAAAAAAATCTATACAAAAATTATGACGAGCTCTGAAAAGTAGAAAAGAGTTGTGCAGTTTCCTGTAGGGTTTGCCCTATCCATCCATTACTTGGACTTCTTCCGAGGACTGTTATAAAAATTTAGAAAAACTGTAAAACTTGGCCTTCTCAAAAAGCCTTTTTCGCAGATTTTGATAATTTTTCGATGGCTTATTGAATTTTGTGCAGTGGTTATATAACATTTAGAAAGAGAATGAAGTGCTGCATCAAATGCTACCAGAACCTTCTACACATCTTCGTTCCTTGAGATGTGGCGTACGTTTGAAAAAAGCGACATTACATTCGGAACGACCTAATATTAGGTAGCAATACACTCCCACACTTTGTTCCGCTAGAAGAAATGTTGCTGAGAAATTACCAATACGTTTCGTTGTTTGTCGAGCGCAGTGTGCATGCTCACATTTAAGATGTTTATTTTCCCAAATGGTTCGCGCATAATTATTGCCATCAGCGCAAATAGTCACTCCAAGCACGTTGAACGGTGCTCCTACAGTACCCATACAAAGTGCCGCCGACATTGAATCAACGCAAATGTTATCCGCACACTGAGTGATCCATCTAAACAAAAGTCTTGAAAAATAATCATGGAGACTGACCGTCTACTGTATATCTACCGTATCCCTACAGACTATTGCGCTTCTATATATCGGAAAATGCATCTCGCCGAGCTGATTTGAATTTTACCCTTGGATTCAGAATTTATGAGCTCTGGGAGGCAAGACAATGCGCGAATTTTTGGGAAGAATTGGGAGCCTAACTTTGGCAAAGTTAGGCTCCCGTCGCTTTCTTCACAAATTACGAGATTAGATACCGTATGCGACAAGTTTTCAAATTCTTGACTGAGACTTGGGATCATTAAATCAATAATGCTTGGATGGGCAACCTCATAGTTGCATTTAGACATTTTGAACCTTTTTTCACTTCTGTACCAGTCAACTTTCTTCAAGTTCACTCGCACTTGAGTCACTGTGCATTTTCGTTGATTTCAAAACTGCATTGTGCCTTAAGTGGAAACGTCCACTTACAAAAGCTAAAGTTTATTTCTTATTTTTAGACCTTGACTGAATTTCAAATATATGACTTCGATCATCATATTTCGAACTGCCAAAATACAGGCAACGTAAAGAAATTTTCGTTTTTATTTTTCGATTATAAAACGTATTCACTATGAATAAAGCGGACAAATCACGCTATTTACAACCGTAAGTCAACATGTAATACAAACCATGAATTAGTTAGAAACGGACAACCTAGGTACTCTAGACATCTTCCGGTCGTTGTTGGAAATCCTGCTCAAGTCCCTGTTGATCATCTTTGTTGGAAAGATTCGAATAGGACAGAGGTGGATGTTGGATACGCTTCACGAAAACTTCATATTTTTTATTCACTATGCAGTAGTAAACTCCAATCGTGCAGAATACTAGGATTAAAAGCATCATGAATACCTGAAAAAAATCAGAATAAAATAGCTCATATATATTTTGAGAATTTACTTCAGCGCTTATTCTTGTGTGTGTCAAGTGGTTTTTCATATAAAAAAGCAGTCGTTCAAAGCAAGCTACGTGGGCGCGTCGCGATTGGTGGCTTCTCTAGGATCAAGCCGCGTCGCGCCCGCTGTCGCGTTAACGCAAAATTACTTCATTTAGACAACCGTAGTCCTGCTATACACTATAATTCTGCACTTACCCCTGCCATTCGACCACTCTTTTCAGCACGTGCTTTTACTGGACATGCGTCTGCTTGCGCAACCTTTGTAAACGGTCGTCCCTTTAAATTCGGAGGAGCAGCACATCTTAAAAGAGTACGAGTAAAAGTTTAAAAAATTGAGTAGAAAGAGTAAAAAAAATGTTAACTAGTTGGTCCTCACTTGGGTATTGTGTTAGTATAATCGTAGGAAAAATATTCATCTTCAAGAAGGAACGCCGTTTCGCAATTGCAATTTATTGGATTTCCACCGATGCCGAGCTCATCCAACTAAAATACTGGTGATGAACAAAGCCCAAAGTAAAAACTATACTTTGTTCGAATGGCCTAATTCTTAACTATGCCACTTTTTCAAATGATTCAGAATTCAAAAATCAGACAAAGGCTCGGTTTCAGCTAAGCTGGAACACAGCTGAAACAGTTCTAGCTAATTCGGAAAAAAGTTCAGCACGGCTTTCATCCACAAAGTTTTCATAAATATTTGGGACATAGTTCGAGTACACTCGGCCGCATACGCACACCAAGTTTGCTGTCATACCATTGTGTTTCGTTTGTAGACAACTTTTTGTTTGTTTAGTAAATAGATGCCGGTTGCATGCTGCAAACATGCCGACGCATATCGACGGCATGCTTACGGCCCCCCTTCCCGCGAAACCCGCAAAAACGATGTCCAGCTTGACCCGATCCCAGCTACGCTGGACCGTCACGCATCAAAGAATGCTCGAGCCTTTCAACAATCAACCATCCGCTTTTGTCTGGGACTAACATTCGCCATTGTGGTAACCTTTGATTCAAGTGGCTCGGCTCCTGGAAGGCGGGGCTATGTGACCTATAGTAAGTTTCAACTCAATTTAGGCGGGAATCGGACTGGCGGGATTCCGCTTCGCAACGATTTGGGCCGCTTTGCAGTTACTTCATTCTAATCTACTCGCTGAGCCAGTGGCGGTGCGGACGCGCTGCCACTTGGAATGTTTCGCCTAATCCGGGTTGAAAAAGACTGTAATTAAGGCCGCTCGCGCATGCGACAAGTCTGCGTCTCTCTCGCGCTCTTGCTCTCTGGCCATTTCTAGCCTCAACTAGGCCACAAAGCCCCGCCTTCCAGGCGCAAAGCTCTTTGAATCAAAGGGTACATAACCACACATCAATAACCATCTTTACTCTATGTTAGAGGTAGGTTGGTTTTTTTGTATAAGCACAAGTTATGTACTCCAGCAGATTTTCCACCTAATAGTGTGCTTGCGGTGCCGAGACTTTGCAGTGAAATTGTGCGAGAACAGATACTAAAAGCCTAAAATGCTGGCGACCTGCTTCGCGTGAGTAAGCTGTAGGTGTAGCTAATTATTCACGCGCAAATTTCACCATAAACTTTCAGCACCGCAAGCACACTATATTACACGAATATGAGTTTCATGGAACATACCGTATCCCATGGCAAGAGATCCTCGCTGATTGATTCGAGCTTGCAATGTTCTACATAGAAATGCTTCAAACCCGTGACTTTTCCTTCACTTGCCTCAGACCATCCAAACGCGTTTGGATGTATTTCATGAAGCTTTGAACAGTTGTTCATATGGACAACCTGAAATTTATTGCATAATATGGCGCTGGCTATCCAAAGAAGGAATGTCATAGAAGACGACTCCTATCTCAAGGGGGCAATACTGCGCGAGAAAAAAATTTAGGCAAATGAGGACCGGCGGTTTTTAAAAAGTAGGTACAGGTACGTTCAAGTGCTGCACTCCCATCAGATGGAAGGGTTTTAAAAACTCATTGCTGAATTATCTTTCGAATTGGGGGGGGGGGGGAACTGAAATTGCGAAAGTTATGATCTCTGAGTGAACGGTCAGAATAGGTTATGCAGAACCAAAAGTTATATGCCTGTCTAATTTTTACTCGACTTGACTTGAAACATCAAGAATCTTCCATACAGACCAACCTCGAGCGATTCCAAATTGCAGAACGCACAGTCCTGCACGGCATAGAGGTATGGCAAATCAGATATGTATAGTTGTTTCAAAACAGTATCATCCTGGAAAAAAAGCAAAGCTGAAAATCAAACCGGGGGTATAGTTTATTTTCTATCCTATCGCAGTCACAGCTATGCAGAGACCATTCTTTAGCTCAGAGCCTTGCAGAAAATTTGTTGGAGCCTCAACTTACAGGCTCCGGAGATTAGCCAAGAAACGTTCACAGTTGTTAGGTTGGAAACTACACAAAATCTTGCAGATTGTCCTTTTGTTATATAAAAGTGCGTGTTTGAACACCATAGTCGGTCAGATTTTGATCCTTTCACTTGCTCACGGTAGGTTACTCGGAGTGTTTAGTCATTGCGCAACGACGAACCTACCGTAACCAAATGGAAAGATCCTTGCGATTCGACCGACTGCTGTGATCAGATAGGCACTTTCAAAGATCAAAAGATGCAACTAGTCGAGCGGAGTTCAATGGTGCTTTTGGATTCAGAATTCGTCCACTTTGAAGCAAGATATGGCGATGCAACGCGAAGTTAGCGAAATCCGCTGGAGTACGGTGATTATTTCTCGCAAATTATGAGCGATATTGTAGTTAGGTTGTCTAGCTGCCTTTGGTTTTTTAAGCAGACCTAAGGGATCATTTGACGAAGCAAGCTCTACAAAATGACCACTATAGTTCCGCTTAGGTCGTAATCCAGGTAAAGTTTGAAGCCATCCAAAAAAATCATCACCTGAAAATTAAATTTTTGTGAGAAAAAACCTTATTGACCTTCGTCATTACACAGTAAACACGTAGTAGGTACTCAAATGTGTCTTTAAATTTTTCCCCGCTTAGAATGCGAGGGAAAAGAGATAGTCCAAAAATGGCAAACTCTGCCCCAAGCCCCTCTCACATATGTCATTGTATACTACATGTCTTAGTGAGTGTAACCACAAACCTTTACCTCTGTTTGTGCTGTGATAATCTGGACGGCTGTACCTAGACCAAGATTAACATAAAAAACCGAAAAAATGACATTTTTGCATTTATTGCGCCATTCCGATTTCGCATTTTTGAGCTCCGGAAAAAATCCACCAAAAGAATTTTTAGGTACTACTATGCGTCTACTTTGGAATGAACAAGTTGGAGGTCCTAGCATTTTTCTGAAAGGAGGTCCTTTTTAGGTTGTTTGAAAAATTCAATTTTTCAAATAACCTAAAAGTCTTCCTAGGAAAACAAGAACAGCTTGATTTATTACAAAAAGGAGTATACTTTTAGCGACCTAATAGTATCGTTGCGGTACCGACAACACTTGAGAAAAAAGTGGCTTTTTTTATTCGTTTAGTCATTCACGCGCAAAATAGCATTCTTTTTGTCGCCACACTTTCCATCCTTTTTCGCCCCATGGTATTCATGCACAGCTGTGAACAGTCCGTAGTGGCATCACACTGAAGGTACTAGACTGTGCGCTTTGACAAATTCTTACTTTTAATGACTCCGCATGAATTTCGGCTAGATTGGTACCGCTCAGGTCCAAATCTTGCAGAAAAACGAGGTGCTTGACAGCACGTGGCACTTCAGTGAATGGATTTCCTCGGAGAGAGAGCTTATCCAGATGCCTGCAAGAACTATTGTGAGACCCCTATTTTAACCAGTGTAGGTTACACCGCGTGTAGCGTTGGTGCCAACTATGTGCCGGCCATGTGCCAGTGCTGTGCTGGCTTACAAGCTATGGAAGCAGCATACTAGACAAAATCCCTAGAAATAAAACGCTAACTTTTTTACTTACGATAGATATTCAAATGCGTTCACATCCAAATCTTCGATTCCACAATTGTCCAAACTAAGTTCTTCGAGAGAGTCTAGTCCTCTGAACATCTCCTTCCTAAATTGATTTTGCTCAAAATGATTTAGTTGATAAATTAAAGCTCTTCGCCTCACTTGAATTTAATTTTATTCCCATCGAGGACAAGCCTCTTCAAATCCGTCAGATGTTCGAATACTCCGTCCTGTAGGGTGGTGATTTTGTTGCTCTCGAGATAAAGTTGATGCAAGCCGTCTAGTCCCAGAAACTGGTCCCTCAATGTAGATATTGAGGCAACTCTCTAGCTAATTTCAAAGATAATCTTGATTTTGTGCTAAGCATAAGAATAAGCAGCACTATTTTTTGCTATAATTACAAATTTCTCTGCAAAAGCGTCATTAGAGAGTTTTCAGTCCAAACAATCATACTCACTTTTTTAGTTGAGTTAGTCTGTTGAAACTTAGGTAGAGCTTCCTGAGATTCGTGAAACCTTCGAAGGCCCCACTTTCTATGTGAGCGATGCGATTTTTTGAAAAGTCCAACTCCTTTATGGTCTTATAATGATCGGGTAGTATTTTGCCCTACAAAAATCCGACTTAGAGCACCTAGGGTAAAATAAATTAGGACTCGCCTTCTTCAGACTTATTATGCTATCTTCCCGAAACGTCGCTCTTGACACTTTAAAAGATTTATTGAAAATATCTAGGTTGGCTGTCGCTAGCGGTGCGTCGTCTTTGAAAACCACCTAAAATAAGTACTATTTAGAAAGAAAAAGTCAGGATTTTTTGCTCATAAGTCTAGTGAAAATAGTGCTCACCTTATCGCAGTCGATCTCTTCTTGTTCACAGTGACAGGTCTCAAGTTCGGTTCCATCACAAGCCAGCCAACCTCCTTCTTTATCTTTCTCGCTTGGTTCCTATAAATAGATTTCTTCAAGGCAAGGTATTTGCTTAGGGTTTCAGCAGATGAGTATTTCGCTAATGCACACGAAGTTCATTACAATCTTTTTTCGTCAGCGACCGAAGACTGATTGCACATTTCAGCCAATGATATAGGATGTTACATCAGATTTTATATTCTTTAAGGTCTGCCTTTCATCGAAAAAAAAGAATAATTATAGATTCGTAGTTACTTCGGCATTTGCTCCTCAAAGCTCTTGGGCTGCTTCTGCCACGGTATAGCACGGCGCCCTTTCAGCGCCGTATATGGACTTCGATCAATCAATGCGCATCCATGGGAATCCAGCACGGCGCTGGCACGATATTGGAATGCTACTGGCACAGCTCCAGCCGGGCATCCGAGCGCTGTCTCATAGTTGTTCTAGATCAATTTGGCATCTTTTTTTTCGCAAATGTGGTTCTATATCCCGCATGGATCCACGAGTCAAAAAGAGCACGCTAACATGGATGCGGCGCTGCAATAAAGGTGGATACTTCCAATTTTTGTTTCATTCAGGTGCTCTGTATTGTTTTCGACATTACAGTATTCAACTGTTTTGTTGTAACCATTGAGGTAAAAGCTTCATAAATTTTCCTAGAACGCTCGAAGATGATATAGAGGTTTGTTTATCAAGAAAAGCAGTTGAGTGAGAACATCGAGTTGTCACAGGTATCCTCAAACCATTCGAATAATGATTTGCAGTGTGTTTGTATCCTCCTTCGCCTATTTTATTCAATTCTGGACAGTCTGTTCCTAGAATTGAAAGCCTCCTTCAAAGCTTGTAAAAATGTCGATTATTTGGCTATTTGGGCGTGAAAAGCACATGGGCGGCCGTGGCAGAGCAATCAACCAATAGCGCCACCAAAGGGCGGAGACTCCCGGCCCATGCACCAATCACCTCCGAATAAGCGGTCAATTAGAACACTTCTTCCGCTGACAGTGCCATTAACGTGTTTAAATAACAAGGTCTAGAATTTCACTACTGGAAAGCAGTGGCAGTCCCAGGATTTCGGACCGGGGGGGGGGAGTAATAAAAAATTTTCTGACGTGGCGTTAGCCACGCACTCCAAAAAAAATTTTGGGATGCTTCCCAAAATTGTTCTAGGCCCATGACACCAAAATATTAGAAAAATGGAGCGTGACGGCAGCCACGTCCCGAGAAAAATTTTTTCAAGGCTAGTTTGAACTCTTAGAAAATTTTAAAAATTATTCTGATTCTATACAAGTATAAACAAGTCACTTGCACATTTTTATAACCCATACACTTGCACATTTTCTTTCACACAACCCGTAACTTTCAAAAATTTTGCGACCTATGCTCGGGGGGGGGGAGGGCGAGAATAGATCGCGCCACTGCTAGAAAATTACCTTCTCAGACTTTGAGTCATCATCCGCAGCATTACAAATATAACTCGAGCAGATTAGAAGTATACACAGTCTCCAGTGCCAGCTTGAGCACACTGAAATCAACATTTTAAATGAAATGGAAAAAGCATATAAAAATCAGCTCACTTTTGTTCCCTGTCAAATAAGAAAGATGTTTTCCATATTTCTGTGCCATGGGTGTCAAGGCAAGGCGATACCACAAGTCTGGGACAGATGATTGAAAGTAGCTAAGAATTTCGATTTTTTTCGAAAAATTATTTTGTAATTTAGCTTTGCACGAATTCAGAAAAAAAACTGATCCTTGATGGACTTTTGATTATCAAAATAAAGTTTGAAAGTCATTTTTATTTTCTTTGCGATTTTGACGGTCAACCTAGTACATTTCTATGTACTATGCCTCAAACTACAAACTACGTGTCCTATGCAAATTCTGGAAATAATCCCATAAAAGGATGCAAGATGCTGTTATGAAGAGTCTGGCAGAATCAATCGCAGCTGTTATCACACGACCATTTGATAAGCAAGTGGTCAATAACATCGAAACCGAATGTTTGGCGGATCGAATGCCAATAAAGACATCCAGGAACCTGTCCATCAAATTTCCCAATGTGAACGCCAAGAATTCTTCGAATTTCAGTAAAAACTGCAGAAAATCAGGTTTGTTCAAAAACTAAACATGTCAAAAACCGGATATACACATGACTTCCAGTTATTTTTGCAAACTCTACTTCTTGTAATCTTTCAACTTCAATTTGGAAGATAGCTGGAGGCTGTGATAACACTGTCTCCATAAATTCACATGAAAAGCACGTTCGACTCGAAGTTCTCTCGTCACTTAAAAAGAATGCATTGCTTATCTGAGATAATAAAAATGCAAATTTTTTCAATAGAATTTTTTTTGAGTGAAAACGTAAACGTAGCTGTTTTCTAGCATATAGGGATTTGAAAAATTGCAAAACTTATTTATACAGAGATAGTGCAACCAATGTGACCTTGCCAACTATAGTCGAGATTAGCTACAGCAAAAATAAGAGTGGGCATCGATCTCTTAAACCAAACCACAACAGTGACCGTTGGAACATCGAAAAACTAAAACTACTCAACAATCTACTATCCCAGTCGAATTCGGCATAAGAGCACTCGAAACAAAACTCTTGCAGATTTTTCGTTGTGGATATAAGCCGTTTTGTACTGCTTATGTAGTTAAGTTCCTTCCATTCAGGTCCGCAATCACGGTATACTCTGCAGTGGCTTGCACGGTTACGGTGACTATCTCACATTAATACTCATGCAAAACTTCGGTTTTTCGGTTTTCTCTGGTCTCAACCTGCGAATTAGGTTGTTCCGGGTGCTCTGACGGTTTCAGAAGGTTATAAAACCTCGCATAATAAACAAAAATTTCAAGTTTGCAGTCGATGTAGCCTTTTTTTTCTGGCTGTGTTACAGAAAATCTTACGAATGCATTCATTTAGCAGAACTTCCTTCACCGTCATTTCTGACTGATTGAAAAAACTCCTGCTAATCTCTCAAATTTTCATACTAAATCTCCTAACCTTTGATTCAACTGGCTCGGCGGCTGGAAGGCGGTGCTTCGTGATCTAATTAAGGCCGCTAGCGCCCGCGACAAATCTGCGTCTCTCTCGCGCGAGTGCTTTCTGATCATTATCTAGCCTTAATTAGGTCACGAAGCCCCGCCTTCCAAACGTCAAGCCACTTGAATCAAAGGGTATATTAGTAATAGTTTGATAGTTTAGTATAATAGTTTTCAAACCTGGCTCCGCCCGGTCCTGTCAATAATAATTTCGTAATCACTTACTCCCTGTGAACCCCCAGCCTCGCATTTGAAACTTTGCAAAAAATTGGTAAATCGGTACCGACCAACGACAAAAAGGAGTCTATGTCGCTGTTCCCGATCCGAAATGTATATTTGTGAAGTTTGGTCCAGATCGGTCCACAAAAAAAATTCTATTTGGAACATGCATACACACACAGACATCCATACACACAAACATACATTCATTTTTTTATAGAGTAGACAGATAGCGCATGGATATTACAAAACTGACTTTTTTTTCGAAAATCTGCTGTTTGGAGTTTTGTGAATTATTCTGTTCAGAGATTGCAATTTTGGTTAAATTAGAAAGTATGCGGCAACCAAAATACGCAAGTTGTCCAAATTTCGGCTACGTAGAGTTTGTGTTGATAAAATCATTTAGTTAGGACTTTCAAGTTGATTTGTTCGAAAAAAACACGTTTCAAAATTTTCGGTTTCACGTACATGTACTCAAAAAGCTAAAGTTTTGCGCAAATAGATAGCTATAAAAAACTTCAAATTTTTTGAGTTTTAATAATCTGATCTAGGTTATACCAAAAGTAGCAGAAATTTTTTTATAAAGCGTTTGAGATTGCTTGAACTATGATAAGAGAGCAAACGGAGCTATCAAAAAAAATCTGAAATGAGTGATACCCAAGTTGCTTTTTGGTCGGTGTTTTAAGAGTCTGTTGACCGATCAGAAAACTGGCAAAATTTCCAGGACAAAGGCAACCTTCTATACATATATTAGGTCGGTGCAAAAGTTTTGTCAATTTTTTCAATCCATCGGTAAACACGCTAGAATAAAGATAAACAATCACTTCAAGATGTATCCGATGCAGAATTTCTTCCTCTTTCCAACGGCTAAACTCTCATTGTGTTTCGATGAGATGATGAGATATTCGCTGGAATTCGCAACCATTCGTTTTTACCATGTCCAATTTTCACTAATTTTCAAAATTTTTGTATGAGACTTTCGGAGGAGCCCTAATAACCATCAGATAGTGCAAACCTTTTGCCAACAGAGGCAATTTTTTGTAGCCCTATGGCTTGTCTTTCAGAATTTCTACGATTCATTTTTTTTAAGTAACCAAATTTTACATTTAGCCTATTTTAACCTCGTAGAACATAAAATGTTGAACACTTCAGCCACCATTCGATGCAAATTTTTCTCCTCTTTCTAACACTTGTCTTTTTTTGCTGAGGCAGGCGGGATTTGTGGGGTAAATCGCAGTATTTCTCAATTTTAGGGGTATGCACTGACATAACCTATGTTTCAAAATCTTCATAATTTGACGCGAAAATTGCTTATTTACTTTGTAATGGTAGCGGTAGTAATAACTGTGTATTGAAACCTCAGTTTTCTGTAGGTTTTGCAGTGTTTGGTGCAACAACAGGTTATGCGATTTCTCAAAAACACAAGACTTTTAGAAAATTATTCAGCAAAAACCTGAAAAAGCAGCTGAAAAAAAGAAAAAAATTGCATAAGTTGGCAAAAGGTTTGTACTATCTGGTGGTTATTAGGGCTCCTCCGAAAGTGTCATACAAAAAGTTTGAAAATTAGCGAAATTTGGACATGGTGAAAACGAGTGGTTGTAATTTCCTGCAAATATCTCGTCGCTCTCGCAACGAAGCAAAATGGGAGTTCAGCATCGGATACATTTGAAATGTTAGTTTATCTTCATTCTAACCTTTCTACCGATAGATTGAAAAGACTGACAAAACTTTTGCACCGACCTAATATTTTTGATTTTGAGTTTCTTGAAAATGCCGTAGAAGTCCAGTGAAGCACGACACTTGATTATCTTCTCATCCTCAGTGGATTTGCAGTAGGATCTACACTACCACCTACAATCTTGAAGTTGGGATTTTTTCTGTGCATTCTTGAGACTGCACATTTGGACTTTGCACTTCTAGCATCTTTACTTTGTGTTTTTCAGAACGGCTCGAGTGAGATGTTACAAACTCATAAATTGAGCTGACTAACACCGCAAAGATGTGATTGACATCTTGTAACTTAAACAGCTATCAGCCGGAACTCTACACATGCAGACGGTCCAATTTGTCAAAATATGAAGCAGAATGCTGCTAGATTTGAATTATTAATAAATAATGGTTCAATTTTTCGAGCTTTGTTTTTCTCTTCTTTTCTCTCCTGATTTATGAATGTTTTCAAATAGACAAATAAATGAACAAATAAATGAGTCATTTTTAGGTGGAAATTGAGTCTCTCCTAATGAACCCTCGTCATGTCGAAGAGCAAATTGTACTCCTTATCAAAGTTCTCTGTGAGATAACAGAAGTTTGAATAACAGCAGTTTGAACTTCCTCGTTTGAAAGACTTATGAAAGGAGTACATTGTCAATCTGAAGACTTGAATTTGAATGGGTCTGAAAGTCATTTCTGCAGCTGTTTGACTACATTAGCAATCATGAGACCATAATGGTAACTTAAAATGATTTTATAAGTCACAGATAAGAAATCTTATCATTAGTAAGGCCTCACTGTGTCCGAATTGCTCTATAAAGTGGGGCTCGGAACTCGTGCTATCGATTTGACTTTTAGAATTGTTTTGATAAAGGATGTACACTTTTAAAAATGATTTATCATAACTTGGGAGGAAGTCAAGTTGTCCTAGTTACTGTAATTGTAAAAAATTATCATTTTAAGTTATGCTCAAACGATTGTGGTTGATTTTCCCTGTTTTGTTACGTAAACAATAACTTCATGCTTATCTCCGCGTCCAGGGTAGATGGTATGGTTTTAGTGAACGCAAGCGAGGTTGTGCAGATAGCGAAATTATAATCATTACCGCAAGTGATGGAAGCTTAGATATTCTTACTGTCTACGATTTTGTCAGATATAGTGTGCTGAAAGGTTTGCAGACTATTTTTTGTACTAAAAATTATAGAACCCAGTAACAACAACGCAACATCACCGCTTTGGCTTTTGACCAAAATTTTGACTCGGTTTTCAAAAAAAGTGGATATGCAGCGTTCAGATCCGGAGCTTTGCCCTGAAATAATCCTACAAATCCATCTTTACTCATACTTATTAGGCACCTGTAAATCTACATTTTCTATACATTCACGCGTGGATCGGTGTGTCTAGCGTCTATAAAGAAGGAAAAGGGATCAAGAAACGGCACCCCCCCCCCCCTCCCCACGCCTAGCAATTTTGGATTCTTCTCTAAAATGTAACATTCTATAGGCATTCAGAAGTGCAGTCTTATATTTACGTCTTCGCTCAGGCAGTTCCGAGAAAACCAATTTTGGTCGGAAAAATTTTAAAAAACTAATATTTTCTTCAACCTAGATATGCCGATTATTCCACCCGAACAATAACCGAAACGACTCAGACAAGTTCTCACCACTGATATGTTATTATATAAATCCGGTAGTAATATAGGCTGAGGGAGGGGTTTTCATCTCGTTTTTCTATTTCCCTATTTTATTCAACTCCCTGCGATTAAGACTGGCTGGTTTTTCTCGTTTGTTCATAGTTGCTTTGTCTATTTTTTCTTTTGTGGCCCACCTTGAGTTTACTGAAGTAAATAAATAGATAAATCTGTCTCTTCCCTTCCCTTTCTTCTCACTTCACTGGGCAGAAGCCAGGCATGCATCCATTCTTCCTGGGATTCGCAATTTGTCAAAACAAATAGTTTGAAAGGGTCATCAAGCGCTGCTATAGTGATGTTGCCATAGAGGATATTAGCAAGAATAAGATTTCTTTTGCCCAAACGTCATTCGTGACGTTTTCCTTTCAAAATGTCAACGATTTGAATGTCTCTCATATTATTCACCTTTTCAAATGTCATCCTTCCACTGAGATTTTCCTCAAAGTAACTATCGAAGGCATTTTTTATACATGATTGCAGCTTGGGATTGCACCATTAAGCATTTCCCTTCTTTGAAAATTGAAGTTAACACCGACTGTTGCATTGTTTTATCTTCTGTGCATCAATTATCACCAACGATAGAGAGAGAAGTAGAAGATGTATCTTGGGAGGCTTGAGAGAGAAAGAATGAAGCTAGACAGTACTTTCATGACTTGCATAGGTGACGAGTAATAATAAAAATAAATTGTAAGTATCAATGATAATTGATGTATCAAATTTTTAGTCTACCATACTAAGCTTGAGCAAATCGAATCCGTTTTCATTTCGTTCCGATTCTTCTCCGATAATTTGATTGATTTCGCATAAAGTGAGCGGATTTCGTGGTTCAGGCATCAGCATAAGAACTAGCTTTCTAGCTCTGATAGGAAACAGCAATTCTTTCGGGGTTTTTGACGGTTCTAACAATAAGCACTTTATTATCTTATAGCTGTGGTCCGTCCCTGTATCAACTGCTACAAAAGCGGAATGGAGAAAAAAGTCGCAAGACCCTCAAAATTCCTTCGTTTGTATACGATTAGACTCAGTGTAGGAAGCTAGAAACGACATCGAAGAATCTGGAAAAGTTTTCACTTTGTCGCCAGTGTGGCCAACTTCAGCAAAATCTCAACCTGTCATACTAATAACGGGTTCCGCTCCCTGCTCACGACTCAAAATAGCCAGCTTAGTGATGAGACTAGTTTAGTACAGATTCAAATAAAGATTTTCAGCCATACAAGCCAGCCATATATGGCAGCAATCTCCACAATGATCACTAAACCTGTTATTTTTGAGTTCTTGAAATTTGAACAAGGAAGTAGATTGGTTCGACAACAAATTTGACGGGATAATTGTAGAAAGCTGCAGTACAGTTCTCATTGTTATGGGCTCCAACAAGTAAATACTCATAGCAACATTTTTACGAATGAAAATTCAGTACGAACTCTGCATTGGTAGCTAATTACTTTTTACCCCAAAAAGATGTGGGGGAGGGGGACAATTTCGGCCCGGCTTTCGAGTGCAAAAAAATGACCTGAGGGTCCAGGTTATAGCAACGAAAATTCTGTATAAGTAGAAAAAATTTAGGTGAATTAGAACAATTTGGGCACGACTCTGTATCGTTATCTTATATATAAAGCTGAATGTCTGTTTGTATGTATGTATGTATGTCTGTCTGTATGTATGTGTGTACGTATGTTCCGAATAGAAAATTCCATTTCTGAACCGATCCGGACCAAACTTGGCACACATACACTACGGGCCCCGGCGGGTGTCATAGGCTACTTTTCGTCATCGATCGATATCGATTTTATCGATTTTTATCGATTTTTTTGCTGAGTTCACCTACGGAGCTGGGAGTTGGCACAGGGGGGTAATCGAGCATGGGGATTACGAATACAATATTAGTTTTCAAGATCGTCCATTACTTTTATCGATTTTATCGATTTTTTGAAAATTTGAGCTAGGGGGCTGGAATTTGGCACAGGGGTGTAATCGAGCATGCTGATCACCCCCCTTGGGGATGATCAGCATGCTCGATTACACCCCTGTGCCAAATTCCAGCCCCCTAGCTCAAATTTTCAAAAAATCGATAAAATCGATAAAAGTAATGGACGATCTTGAAAACTAATATTGTATTCGTAATCTGCATGCTCGATTACCCCCTGTGCAAACTCCCAGCCCCGCAGGTCAAACTTTACAAAAAAATCGATAAAATCGATAAAAGTAATGGACGATCCTGAAAACTAATATTGTGTTCGTAATCAGCATGCTCGATTACCCCCCTGTGCAAAATCTCAGCCTCGCATGTCAAAATTTACAAAAAATCGAGAAAATCAATGAAAGTAACCGATAATTCTGAAAACTAATATTGTATTCGGAATTCCCATGCTCACTTCCCCCCTGTGCCAACTCCTAGCCCTGTAGGTGAACTCTGCGAAAAAATCGATAAAAATCGGTAAAATCGACATCGATCGATAACGAAAAGTGGACTGTGACACCCGCCGGGGCCCGAAGTGTATGTGTGCCAAGTTTGGTCCGGATACGGCGGAGCCGGGTAAGCCAGCTAGTTACAAATAATCTTTTCAGACAGGCCTTCTCGAACATTCCGAGTACATTCTGAATTATAGCAGGGCAACAGTGAAATTTTGCAGCGCAAGTGGTTTGTTAAGGAAGAATGATTTTCTGACTTATAAGGTTGTAAGTAAGATGCGAATAAGATCACAATAAAAAACATACATTAACCATCTTTGTCTCTATGAAGCAAGGAAGCATGTGAAACAGATCTACCTGCATATCTCAGGTAACGCCTTAACCGAGTCATTGCCCAAGAAGCAGCTCATGTGTATTTTTAGTAGAGATATGCAACTTCGAACTCCAGTTACATAATTTCTACCGTAACCGAGGACGCTAACTTGTCCGCTAAGGAAGATAACGGTCTGGGTTGAAGTTCAGGATCAACTTCTTGGCCAAGAATGAATTATACGAACTGTCGTTCAAACATGAGCTTCGCTAAGGCTAGCTATATACATCCACATGGGTAGAACAGGTTTGCTTGCATTTGTGTGGAGGTCCATTCAAGTTCGACCAAATTCTTCCACTTCTTTATTACAGCGTTCAGTCCTCTTCCCATTATAAAGCAAAATTCGCACATTTTAAGCAATGTTCATTTTCGCTGATTCTACTATTACAACATATGCGATTCATTTTTTGCTGAATACACAAGCATCTCTGTTTCAGAGATCTGAATTGATAGCATTTGTTGATGCAAGAATGTACTAATCAGAAAATAGAAGTGGCCTGATGAGCAGAACGTGTAAGCTGCGTGTTGTCCTTGATATCTACGGTATCTAGAAAAGAAATTAATTCTAAAATTGGCAAATTAACCGGAAATGCAAATAATCGTTCACTAGTCAGGCAGTGAAGACGTCCTTTTTCTCGTGAAATTCGATTCGAAAGCAATACTATTGTCTAGACCAGAAATGAACGTACGTAGTCATGTGCAATTTTTGCAGATACTAATAGCATTAGCACGCAACAAATTAGTAATGGAATGCAACTTCCCAGAGTACGAAAAGTCAATTCAACATTCTTTCTCTTAAACAATTTTTTACGGAGAATTCAGAAAGGTCGTTGTCACCCAGTTTTCCATGGATAACTCAAGTTCTCATAACATTTATGAAATTCACAATTGATTTATCATACTATGAAGACCATGTTTTTATTTGTGATAGACCTTATTCAACTGTTCAACTTTTATTCTAATGTCGCAATTAGGTGTCCCCAATGAGGAATAGTGTGTGACTCGCTTGTGATTACTGCCGTTCTGAAAAGGAAAGGGATTTTATAAGTTGAGATGAATTTCAAAGCAGAAACAATGGTTTTCTTACCTGTGGAATGTGCTTTTTTACTTGCCAAAGCGTAGCACACCTGGCACACTTTTCTTATTGAGGAGTTCAAGAGGAATGGCATCATATAACGCTCGTTTTCCGAATCTGTAAGCAGGTTTACATTCAAAATAAAATGGCGAATTCTAGAGACATTCATGTAGAGACAAGAAGATCTTGATATTACCAAGCACAAGTCTTAAGACTTCATGTTCTTTTTTTTGTCGATTAAAAGACATCTGAGAGATTCACTGACCGAAACAACCACAAAACGCACTGGAATTGATGGTCTACTTCAGTGGTCTTTCAATTTACGGGTCTTATCTTTCAGACTTCCAGAAATGCAGAGTAGCATTTTTTTGATGTCTAATTTGGTTTGGAATGTGACAGACTTATAAATGACTATTCTTTCAATAAATGACTCCATAGAAGAATTCGAAAGCGTTCCTTTGAGAAAACACGAAAGGTTTTCATGTCCCAGTGGCAGCATCAAAACCAAAGGATTATTTGTCACTTAGACGCTATTCTCTGAGAAGAACTTTTGTATATAACCTTAGTCTGTTGGAACAAGTGGAATCATCAATTTTGAAGAAAGATTCTGAAACAGATATGAGCGAATACACAGCATTCTCTTAGTAGCAAAGGAAATGGTCTTCTTGTATTCGCTCCTGATATGGAACAAATCCTTTTTGATTTTCTGCAAGACTCCAAAGAAATTAGCATTAGAAATTTGTTCGGATTCCAGAAGAACGTAAATGAGGTAGTTGGTAGTTTTTTTGAGACAATAATATATTCTTTGAATCAAGTAGAATCTTTTGATTCTAGCTATAGTAGGTGAAGTTGTAATGGCATAAGCACAACGCGCTTAGAAAATAGTAAAATAGAGCAAAAGGGTGGAGAGAGAAGGAGATGGAATAAGAAGGCCGTGAGAAAATTTGTAGGAACACGGTAGCCGGAACGCGAGGGATTAAAACTCTGTCCTGCTTGCAATTTGAACGCAACCCAATACGAAATTCTCAAATTACGAATGGTGCAAATGGTCTTTGCATATTTCAGTCCGGAAAATGAGTAAGGTAAAAAAAAGGCAGAAACCAGGGAAAACAATCATCTATATACTAAAAGCTGTAGTCACGAAAATCCTTTGTTGGTGACTATAATATAAGCAAAAGTTATGTATATGTAAATATTATTTGTATGGTCAAGTCATCCGTTCCTGAACTGCACCTGCACATTGGTGACTGTAAGATTGTAAAAGATACTAAACAATATTATTTGAGCAGAACGTTATTACTCACATATTCATAAAAAAAACTTGTTTAAAAAGAAACCAAATAGAGGCGATTTCATTTCGCAATTCAAAAACATTCAAAGTCAACGATGAGGAAGCATGCGAACGACATGAGCAATCGAGTAGGTCTCTCTCTTACTTTATGCAATTGCACAATTTCCAAGATGAGGTGGACCATGCGAGTTGTGTATGGTCAATTTTGCGTTTTCCGATTTTCTCAAAATTCTGTCACGAGTTATTACACGTCATAAATTTCTTAATTAAGGAGGCTTGCAACCCGTCCTCAACATCTTGAAAGATGTGCGATTGCACACATTAGCAATCAGAACTACTCGACTACTAAAAAGGAGATCTGTTGCAGATTTCTTTCGGTACGGCTAGAAGCTGTCATCATGCTTGCTTGAAGTCACAGAAGTTTTGAGAAATAATTTTGGAACCCTCATTCCGTCTTGATGTTGCCCAGACAGGGCTTCTGATTCCTAATTAAGGAACTTCCTGAAGGAAATTACTAAAGCAGCTATTTCTGGGATGACAAGCTAGAAAAATCTCTTAACTTCATCAACTTGTTCAAGATGGGATCAAATTGTATGGGCCAAATCCATGACCCGAAAAAAGACCTGATCTTTGAATAGGGTCGAGTACGCCTCCACAACCCATCGCAAATATTTCAGACCCTCGTATTCCCGCGAGACGTTGTTTCAAATATCCAATAAGTAAAGTGACTGCGAGATGTGCCCATGTTGTGAGTTAGAGCAATGGAGCCAAGTGGCAAACTACTTCAGCGACGAAAATTGAAAAGCTTAAAGGTGAAAGGAAGTTCATACAAACATTGTTTAGACATTCAGTCAGGTTCCAGAAAAGACAAAGTCAGAAATGGTAAATAATTAGTTTGTCTTTCGAAAAGGCAGTGATCCAAGAGCTAGGAGCTGCTTAGACAATTTACACTTCTGGATTTCATTTTCTTTTCCTAGTTCAAATAGGAAATATGTAAGACGAGAAAACAAGCTTTGATCCCTTTGAAAACATTTTTTCACTTCCGGCGTTTGTGCTTTGCGCTACGCATTGCACAACACGCGCGCGGTAATTCACGACGTACGCGCTAATATCTCGCTAAATTTATAAAATTTCCATTTCGCTCAAGGTTTGTTTGGTATTAACATGTGCAAAATTATATTATTCGCATTAGTATCTTACTGAACAATTTCTACCTGTTGACTACCAATAAACTGAAAGATTACTTATTGACTACAAGTAAGACGTCGTGAGATATCGCGCGCGGTGTGCAATCACACATATCAAGTAGTGCGCGGCTCTACTATATTGCGTTGAATATTACTGGCTTTAGAATGAATTTTCTGGTGCCACACCCTCTTATCAAACTGAGTTCTGAGGGATCATGTTATTAGAACCCTGACTCTTCACTCATACATCAGGGATCCGCCGATCTAATGGGATTTAGGTGGTGATAAGGTTAGCAAAACTTGCGCAACCTATATTTTACCTTCCTGCCAGTTTTTTTTTCACCTCTGTCTATACTCTCGCTCCCAAATAACTCTTCCAGTGCGTCATCATCGTGCTGTTATCAGAAAGCTGAAGAGCGGAAAGATTCAGCCGACATATAGGAATGACGTCAGTAAGTGAGTGATGGATACTTTCAGCGACGCGAGAAGTCGTGTGTTTTGCGCATCTTTTTTTGAGTATGCTGAACAACTTGCGAAAAATAAGTGGATGAGGAACTGCTGAAGCTGGTTCGCACTTCTTTAGAATTAAGACTCTCAAAAAGTGGGAACCGTTTTTTGAAGTTTAGCACATTTGGTTAGGGTGATTGAGCAAAATTCTTCACCTCATCATTCCTGGAATTTCACGTCTTTTGCCAAATCGAAGAACGCTGGGCATAGATCTTTTACCAAATCTACAAACAATCTAATAACAGCTGCAAGAGTTGGATAAAAGTACCTACCGTAAGACACCCGGTATTTCTCTTTTTCCGAATCGCAACACACCCGGCACGCTTCGCTTCCCAAATCGCAAGACACCTGAGAGCAGTTAGCAATAATAAGTTTTTACAAAGTAAACTACCGTAACGATACCTGGAACGCTCTTCTTGTTTGATCGTTTTCCATAGCGGAAAACTCCGAGTAGTTCTTTTTTCAAGTCTTCTTCGCGCTTATCATACCGAGCCGTTTCGCTATCCAGATCTACTATCATTGATAGAGTTTATGGTTAAAATAATCTATTTGGAATTGTGACTCAGTCACAATACGATCAACAAGTGAAACTAGGAAATTTTCAGAGGTCTCGAAATCCTATTTCAGACCCAGTGAACATGTGTATTTTATTTTTTCAATTTTCTTGAAAAGGAAAAAATTTGGATTTTTGAACTGTTTATTTTGATTAATCTGCAGTGAAAATGGGCTGTCAAAACCTTTGGATGGACAAAAATCCTATTTCAGTTTCAATAAAGTTGGTTGAGGTAAATTATGATTTTTCCTGCTCACCGCGGCCAAAACAAATTTCATCCGCTATGATGAATCCTGCTTGTTTCATATTCGTCATTCTCCCTGATTCTATAACCTACTATCGATTCTCCCTCTTTAGTTTTCGTACCGAGATTTCTAAAAATGGCAACATAACGTTAGAGGTGTAAATTACCTGGCTTGCCCGAAAGCTCCTTTGGTTGTGGAATAAGCTCCAGCAAACTAAGTTCATTTGCATATTCTCCATCAGGAAGTTCGTAAGCTAAAAGATTCTATCATTTGCGTCAAAAGAGGTAAACATTTCAGAACTCCTACACAATTGCTATGTTCGTCATGACGGTATGAAATCTGGTCGCTCGCGTAATTTCGCGAAATGAGGAGCGAACTCTCCGAGGAGTTATCTGCTCATCCGGCGAAATGGATTTCTCAAATCTAACTGCGAAAACTAAGCGCAAACCACCCGGGGAGCCTCGAAATGAAAAAAAAACAATGGTTGGCTTTTTTTTTCTCAGGATGTGTAGCGTGGGGCGAAATGGTGAATTCTTATGGCAATAGGACTTGCACTTCCGTACTCAGGGGCGACTTAAACCCAGAACCTGAGACTAATATGACTTGAGCAAAACAAATGCTGATTAGCTCGGTAGGAATAGCTCGGATGAGATCTACACAACTCATTTCACTGATGAGTTTCTTGTTTCTGATGTGGTACGGAAAATTTTAGACAAATCACGATTATCTGATATTAAATCGCTGTGGAAGAAAATAACAATAAACAAATTGTTGTTTTAGAACCTCTTCTTCTCGCCGTAAGATCTTCAAAAAGAAAGCTCACAGTGACCGTGTTATTTACCTTGTTCCTGTAGATCGGCTGCATTTGCTAGAACAGCTAGTAGAGTAAAGAGAGCAGTCGACACCCGCCACATGGCACCCTAGATTTTCGATTTCATGACAAATTTCTGGCAAAATATAGGGAGAATAAGGCTTGTCAGAATAGGTGTGGATTTAAAATGAGCGAGATGAGGAGAATTCTCTGCTTGAGGATAAAGATTCAAATTTAATTCACATCCGATAAAATAATGTTTGCCATTCTAGGTGACTAAGAAAAGAATGCGCGGCAAAAGCGCAAATTCGCCCAAGCCATGGGCCCACCCCCTCTCCCTCCCCCAGTTTGATTTACCGTAGTAGAGCACACGCAACATGCAATTCACGTCAACACGATGGACAAGTGACGGCTTTAGTGACTTCTCGATACGCTATCTGCCAATGTTAGAGCGGTAAAATTACTCGCATTACCTTGAGCTCGAAAACTCTCTGAGAAAGGGTAAAGAAAATGTTTGGAATTTCCGCAAAAGTTCACAGAAAATTTCCGTTGTTGCGACTTTTTGACATTGACAAGTCCGCTTGAGCACATATCGTTTCCTTAGTTGACGACATTGTGAGCCAGGTCTAGCATATCCACACAAAAAATTTTAGCGGAAGTGCACTTGCTCGAAATTCATAAGCGCACAATTCACGGGTTACCACTTCCAAACATGGTTTGCCACCCAAAATCTTAACATTGATTATTTTTCAAGCTTGGAATGCAAGGAATTTGCAGAAATGCTTAGCAAACCCAAAGTACTATTTCTGCATTTGATTCCTAGTCGTTCTATGAAGTATTTTCAATATTTCAGTCTGGAAGATCTAATGGATGTAGTTCAATACACGGTGCAATCCGATGCGTCCTAGGACATTCTGGGCCAGAAAAACACTGGGAAATGTGCTTGTTATTGTGTTCTACTACAAACCAATAAAGTAAGGAAGAGTGTCGAACTTTATGATCGCCGCGCAATTTGATCTGGTATCTCAGTATAATTACCGGCAATGGATCCGGGTAATCCACTTAATTAGACTCCCAGGCAGAAGTGGCATGGCACATGTCCAACGACGCTACGCCCTCTATTTCTAGAAGATGAGGACGACGATTTCAGCAATAACGAATCAAAGACGATTTATGGCTTGGCTCTTTCGCTTACACGAGTGGAGAACATTCGCGAATTTTTCTAGATAGTCGGGTGGGGGTGATGGGGGAGGAGATCTTTTCAGGACTTAATTTCATCAGAGCAGAGGATGAAATCAGGACATCATTTTTAGTTTATCAACTGAGTGATCTAAGAGACTAACTATCCAATTATCGAGTCTCTCATCAGCTGAATGTGTAGCCATAAGAAATGCTAATTTCTCACATGAGAAAATCTGCAGCTACCGAAGAGGTAAAAAAAATTTTGCAAAATATTACAGCAGCCTACCCTGATTAGGTGCACTTTTATATTCAGTCATATAGTGTAAGTAATTATTTTACAATTATGCATTTTTCAACGGTAACTGGATGCTTACAGATTTTAGGATTTACATGTATGCACAAAGCAATTTTAGCTTAAAAGAGAAGAATACCAAGATTAGTTGGCATGAGATGTATATCTTTAGATGCGCCTTTGCACGCTGATTCTAAAACTGCTTTCTTTTTTTTACGGAATAAGTTTCTGAAAGAAGTTATGAGCGTTTGAATGTCCAGATTTGCCAAGCATTGAGTGTCTTAAAATCAGCGAAAAGCGCTAAAACAACACCTATACGATTTCCACCGGCTATGTTCCTTCCTTGCAAACAATATACTCGATACAAAAATGATTTTCCACTTTCCGGTGTTTTTGTACAGCATTTCGCCAATTTTAGGCCACTAAACCTTGACAAATTTGGACATTTGAACGCCCACAACTTCTTTCGGAAACTTATTCCGCAAAAAAAGAAAGCACATTTGGAATTAGCGTTCAAAGGCGCGTCTAATGATATACATCTCATCTTCAATCGCTGACTAGTGTTGGTATCCTTCCCTTGTTAGTACCCTAATTCCACAAGTACAAGTACAAGCATCTGTTTTTTTTTTCTAAACTCGACCAACCTGAACACACCAAAAAACTTCGCGACCAATAGACCCTTTACCGTGCTGGGTATTGCCCGAGGGTGTCGTGCTGCATAAACTTCGTCTTTCAAAACATAACGATTCGGCTGAGAGGCTAGCTTGGAAAATTCAAAAAGGTGCGTCTTGTAATCGTAAAATTAGTATTTTGAATAGGCTTCTAGGTCTGCTAGCAGGGATATTCTGCCAATCGTTGGCGCGGAAAATGATGATAGTGCAAAGTAAGGAAAATCTATAAAAAAAAGTTTGTAGCCTTTCTGATATGATGGAAAGGTTAGCGGCATTTTAAGTGTGCTATATGGTTCATGGAAGTCAATTAATGGTATTCCCCTTACACATGTACTCGCTGAGTTTTTTTTTTCGCATCACTTGCATTATTGAGAGGCATTTATGCTACGGCGCAGAAAGATTGTAAGAATAGGCCCGAAATGTGTTAAAGCACAAAATTCTCGATAGTAGTGATTTGCTAGTGAAGCTTCTGAGGCATGTAGAGAAATACTTCTATTAGGTAATATTGATACGAATTTCCCTCCATGCGTAGGCGGAATTCAGAGTTAAATTAGAGAAAAAAACATGTTTATAGTCTTTGAGCGCGCAGAAAACAAGACGATTAAGCTGAGTTTTGCAATTTGCGCCAATATGAAGTACAAACATTTCTTGATACCTGAGGGTTTGATGATAGCTACCATTTTGTAGAGTGAAATATTGCATACAGCCACACTGCTTGTCATGCCTTACGATTTTTCTATAGAATTATATCTATAAGGGTGCGTCAAAACTCTAGGAGCCAAGTACTTCTTTTTCACAAAATCACAAAGGAAACACGTAAAACCAAAAGATTTGGTGTACATGTAACCCAACGCTTACATACACAGCCTGGTTCTCAAAATAAGCCTTTTCTGGCCTCAATGCTAGCCTACAAAAACTTTGGTGAGTGAACCTGTTGTGGCACGAGGGTAGTCGTAAGGAATTTCGTCCTATGCTCAAGGTGACTGCTTCTTTCAGTATATAAACATGTGCAGCATGACAGAGCAAGGTTTTTGCCTACAAAATATAGTTGATTCGTCAACGGCACGGAACATCACTGCGGAGCACGCGCCGCGGGGTAAAACGCTTGCCCCAGTACAAATCCGCCATTGTACAAGTCAAGTCGTGCTCTCGCAGCAATTCAGACGCGGCGCGCGTGGGCCGCGGCGTTTGAGCAGTCCGTGCAGTCAACGAATCGACGATACTCTACAGAAAATTTTTTGCAATGTTCAGAAATAAATTATTGATTAAACTGTAGGCATGTACGTGCGTCTGTCGCATACTGGATTCGCTCCATCCGCGCGGAGAAAAACAGAAGATGAATGTTAATAAAGTATAGATGTTCCATCACCCCAATTCAACTATATTCTTATATAACACACACATGAATTTAGGTTGTATTTAGATTCAGTGACTGCTGCGCTTTTATAGTTTTAAAATTCGTTTCAAAGTGGTATAAGTGGCACGCAAGCAAGATTCGCAAATTCTTATATGCCATCTTCGAGGAAATATAGTCCGGTCAATCAAGTGCTCCGTTTGCGCAATAAGCTTCGCGCCACGTTCGCGCGCGTATTCTCGTCAATTGGAGGTCCGTACGCAGGGCCCTTGCGTTGCGCATGCGTAGTTCCCATGCGAAAGGGAGTACGTGGTTGGCGTAGTTCCCATGCGAAAGGGAGTACGTGGTTGACATTAAAATGTACCTTCTGACAAACGCAATTACCACGATGTAATCGTGCGGAGCCTCCTCTACATTGTATGCATCAAACTGTTGTAGAATATCATCATATCCCCAGTTACGGATTAAATTGCGAACACCAAAAATTTCGATTTTCACGGTTCGCAAAAGCACTAGTTTGATAATTTGAGCTTTTACAAAAACATGTGGTTATTATGGCATTATGTGGCATAGATTTGATATCAAAATCATGAGTAGATCTGTGGATTACAGTACCGCGAAACAGGATTTCAGACCAGGGCTCGGCACGAGCCGGCACCACGGAAGTTTTAAAACGAAGTCACCTTTGGTCTTGAAAATCATGAATTCTTCTTTGATCCTAAACCCCAAACGTAAATAAACCTCAAGAAAGGAAACGTCGATTAATAACGTCGCAGTTTTTGTGTCTTTTCGGCCACAAAAATGATATCTAGCTGGACCCGGTGCCAAATGTGCCGAGCCCTGTTCCAGACTTTTGACGCACCCAGTATTTTGGTGGTGATCGTCTTGAAAAGTCTACGGTTGCGTTTAGGAGACCTAATACCGAATTCCAGATGAATCACCTGCTCAGTAATGGGCTGAAAATTTTGCAGTGAAAGCCAGATTTGTCAAGCTTTACTGAACGTTAGTTCTTGGGGGGCACGCGGAAGGCGACAATCGGCGCAAAATGGAGGCAGTGTATCATCCGCCTCAATGACTTTCACGGATTTCTACTTGTGGCATCGAGTAATGTATCTGCCCCCACCCCCCACCCCCCTAGTCCCCACCCGTGTCACTTTGACACTGGAGAGTTTCTGACAGGCAGAAAATTGGGGATTGTCGCCTTCCGCCCCACACCCTTAGTTCTTTATCGGAGAGCTGAGAAAGACAAAAAACGAAGTTTGGAAATTGACATCATGAACACTGAAAAGTAAAAGTTCCGCCTCAATTCAAAAAAATTGGAACGGAAACTTGCCGACAAGTGCATGACTTTTTAGCTAAGGACTTTCCATTCCCTTAAACCTTGATTTTCTTATTTAAGGCCATGAATTACCATAGTATGTTTGACCAAAACAGATCATGACAAGTTGTTCAAATTGTGGAGGGAAAGCCTCAGATACCGCGAAAAAAAAACGATATTTCGTTTCTCAGCAAGCGCCATCTTTAAAATCTGGAAAAACTCAATCCAACTCCTGTTCTGTCACGACGGTATCAGCCAAAAGAAAACAGTGATCAAACATCCGCTACTATGTCC